CCTCCAGGGTTCGAGGATGGCACAGGAAGAGTTTGCAAATTGAACAAATCGATATACGGCTTGAGGCAGTCAAACCGAATGTTTCACCTGAAGATCAAATCAATCTTCAACGAGCTGGGCTTATTCCAAAGTAGCGTAGATCATTGTGTCTTCCACAGTAATGACTCCAGACGACTGTTGATCGTCTTGTACGTGGACGACGGAATCATGACAGGGATCAATGAGAAAAACATTCTCGACTTCCTGAGCAGATTGAAGCAGAAGTTAGAGATCAAATTCAAAATTCTTGATTACTTTCTGGGGCTCCAGATTGAGAGAACCCCGACCATGGGTGTCATCATCCACCAGCAACGATACATTCAAGATCTCGTGGAGAAGTATGAGATGCAGAATTCCAAACCTGTGTCCACTCCAGTCGAACGAGACCTCTACTCAGAAGATAAGACGGAATCAGCAGCTCACATGCCATATCCCGAATTGGTAGGAGCGATCCTCTATCTTTCTTCAGGGAGCCGACCAGATATCTCCTTCGCAATTTCATATCTTTCCCGTTTCATGCATAGTCCAACGCTGAAACTGTGGAATAGTGCGAAGAGGCTCTTGAGGTATCTCAACCATACCAGAAATTTCGGTATTCGTTACGACGGAGATCAGGACGGGAGTTACCAATTTTTCTGTGACAGCGACTATGCTGCTTGTCCAAGGACGCGCAGGTCTACGTCAGGAATGGTTATCGTTCCCAATGGTGGTCCTCTCTTCTGGGCAAGTCGAAAACAGACTAGTACAGCTCTGAGCAGCTGTGAAGCCGAGCTCATGTCAGCCGCAGACTTCGCCAAAGTCGCGCTCTGGTTTCATAGACTAGTAAACGAGCTAGGTTATCCAGAAGTACCGAGGATCCAGATTGACAACCAAGCAGCCATCAAACTCATCCTGGAATCACAGTTAAGTCGAAGAACCCGACACATCGAGGTGAGGTTTCATTTCGTCAGGTGGAAAGAAAGGTCGAGGAAAGAAAGCTAGAAATCATTCATGTACCCTCCCAAAATAATCTCTCTGATATCATGACGAAACCAATGAATAAGACTTGTTCCCAGAGGCTGCGCGATTCAATCGGCATCAAAAGAGTGACAGACCTCAAAGACGATGAGTAAGCTAGCAATCCTCGTACTATTATTCTCAATCATCGCTCAAGCATTTTCATTCTTCACGTATTCCGATTGTGACGTTGAATGCCAATCGAAGAAGATCAGCTGCGTTATCTCAGAGCAAACAAAAAGATACTTCGTCTGTCATTGTTTTCGAAGCGAGACAACATGTGAGATGCTCGCGACGGCCATCGGTTTCTAACCCCCGCTGTTTACATCCAAAGGAGCGACTTCCCTCTATCGTTTACTCCTCAGTGCACGAATGAACGCATTCTGAAGCATGTCGAAGAGCGCGGGCGGTCGGAGAGGCCGCGGGAGAGCCGTGAATAGAAAATTTCGAGCCCGCTAGGCTAGCGGGCAACGGATTCCGAATCTGGAAGTTCAAAGAAGTGAGGCATGAGATAGCCGGTTCAGCCGGATGCCGGAGCTAGGCGCATTTGCGCCGGGCGCGCCGAAGACCTATGTGGTTCAACGCTGTTACAGAGAGGAATGAGTCCGAAATACTCAAGTGCGACGCGATCGGTATCCGTGACAAGGCTGTTGCAACTTCACGCATTGCTCACGATGGGACGCTTATCGCGCCGATGGCCTGGTCTTGAGTTGCTAGGGCAGAGGTGTCAAAAAGGTGGCCCGCGGGGTCCCTTCTTGAGGCCCGCGAGCACCTCTTCATCAAATCTTATCGGTTCTGGGTATCGCGGATGGCATCCGGGGAACTCAATGTTGTTAGTGTTGTAACGGGAACTCTGAGGACCTAGACGGTTGGGGAGACTGAGGACCCGGGGGTGGTACAGCCTCGGAGAATTGAAGGAGTATTGAACACACGCACTCTAGTGGATAGGTAAAATCGGATTGCTTTATTTTCCGAATCTGTTCCGGATTACAGACATGAAAGGGTGATAGTAAACGGAGGAAGTGGTGTTAGGAATCCGTGAGGATCCTGAGCATAGGCTCACTGAGAAGGGTACTCAGTCGGCAGGAGTCCACTGTTTGCAGTTTAGAGTTTGTTTCGGCACAACGTTCTGATGATCTCCGAGGGTCGAGGGCTGGCAGGGAAGATACTCAGGAATGAGGACGCAAGGGATGCGTGTGATAGAAGAATCTGTGTTTGATGTTTATTTGAATGCTGCTTATATACCGTCTGGACTCCATAGTCCAGTACAGTGAAAAAAGAGGGGAGTTCCCCAGAAAAAGGTGATCAGCCTTTTTCTGTGACAATCGATCAGAGTTTTTGGCTCGTATACTGAAGTGTCATAAATACTGACTTCTGAAAACTTTTAAGACAGTAATGGAAACGCCTTTGTTCACAGAAGAAAGGCAATTTCCTAACAAGTGGGGGAGAGGGCTTTGTGAGTCGGCCGCCGGACTCTGACGGCTCAAGAGTTCGGAAAATAAATTCCTCCGTAAGTCAATCCGAGCTAGCCTTGTTTCGAGCATTATACGCTGATCACGTCATCCTCGACCCCTTGAATTCTCCGAGGAGAAAACCCCTTTTATAGTCTCTTTGCAATGGAATAGAATCTGCAATGTGGCCCGCGAGCTCCCCCGGCGCTCCAGGATGGCCCGCCAAAAACTCGAGTCTGACACCCCTGCTTCAGAGCTCGATAAGCCCTTGAGGTTCCAATCCCTCGCAGCGAGAACGCTGAAGTTCATCTAATTAAAAAAGACAGTTCTTTGTTTTTCTCCCAGGTTATTATTAAAGCTTGAACTTGTTGAATGAGACCCGCCTGCCTCTTAAGGCTGATCTAATCCCCCTAGTCGAGCCCCCAGAGCCAACTGCCACCCTAAGGGGCGAGTCCCCCCCGCATTATATACACAGATTGTGGTATGCTTTATTGAGAATATGGTACAGATGTTACGGGGATACTCGGGCTTAGAGATGCTTCCGCAATCCCCAGCATCATGCTCTCTCGGAACGATTGCATGTCCTCCTGCTTAAAATCCATCTTTGCATCTCGCGCGGCATATTCCGCATACTTCAGCGCGAACACCCCACAATCGAACCCGTTCTGCTGCTGGGGAAGATTGGCGTCATGCTGGAGATTCCACTCTCCGGGATCGAGTCTGCGATTCTTCTTGTTTTCCATCTCTTCGGCCAGATACGTGCCCAAGATTGTCAAGCAGTCGTCATTCCTGCCTCCTAGAGAGTCTAGATACTTGATGACTTTCGTCCGAAAATCGATGATCGCCATGCACCAATGGTTTGTCGTATGTACAGGGATGAGTAGTATGTCATGAGCGAATACATCAACCGAGCGCGTCCATTTCGAAACTTCGGCATAACCGTGTCTTTTGTAACACAGGAGAAAAAACGTACTGAATGCGTACACTTTTGGAAGCTCCGGGATGTCCGTGCAGCGCTTCACGATCAGATTGAGATACGCGTTCATGATGACGTCGCTCAGCCAACTTGTGCCGGCTAGAGTTCTCAGATCGTACTCGCTGACCGCCAGCCCGGAAACTGGGACCTTCTCGACCAGTCCCAGTATTCCTCCGGATGCGTCTTCGATTTTACGTTTTTTCCCATCACTGCTTGGCTCATGGGTTGAAGTTGGCTCATCAGGCAGACTCTCAATAAATCGCCATGGATACGAACTTTTCGCATAGGTGTGATCACCCATCATGCTCATGTCGATCTTGGAATCCTCTCTAGGAAACCTAGAGCTCTGCTCCTTCAACCAAGTTTCAAGCATCGGATCCATGGTTTCACCCTGCTCCATAACCGTGAGCATGTGATTCTTCTTCCCGACCTTGTATTTCACCCGGTCAATGAACTCGAGAGCGGAGATCTCTCCTTGCGTCAGAAGCTCCCATGATGTGCTCATTCTGAGCTTATTCCATTTCGTTGCCTTGTCTGGTCTGGAAAGGATGTGCTTGACTCCTCTTGAATCTATCATCTTGTCTACAACGACGTCTTGGGCCATTTCCGTCATGGTCGCCAAAAGCGACCACGTCGGGCCGTGAGGGCCGGTTTTCCGCAGGAGTTTGCCATTGTTAGCTTCGACATCGTTGTTCGTCCGCTGGCGGAGGCCGAATACGGAGAGGTCTTGAGGACCAACTCTTCGTAGCCAGTGAGACTCGACGTAATCGAGAAATCCGGGAAACCCGATATGAACGTTTCTCGCCCGGGCCGCAAGAACCTCGTATGTCGGTTCGATCAGCTCCGGTGGTAGCAAGGGCAAGCTTAAAAATCCCAGAAAGTGTGACAGGATCGTGCCGGGCTTCCGAATCTCTCGCCCCACGCCTGAAGTCGACTGTCGAGCTCTTTTGACCAAGCTCTGAGAAAAATGAAAGTGGCACCCGTAAAGGTGAACGTTCGGGAATTCGGAACGGACCGCCTTCCTCATCGCGGGGTCCCAGTCTCCCATATAACTTGTTGGCGTAAGTTCAGGGACAGCATCTTTCAACTGTTGGAAGACCCACTTGTAGGCTTCGGCGTCAGATCTATTCATGAACGCGAACGCCACGATTCCGATCATACTTCCCCAATTCCCGTGTATCGTGAAGAGCTGCTTGCAAATCAGCTTCGGGCATACTTTATACGTCGCATCCGCATGGATAATTCTCGCGGTGATCAGCAGTCTGAGCAGACTCACGGTGGTCACAATGAGCGTGTCGTGCTCTGAGTTGAAGAAAGGAATCAGCTTCTCGCCGTCTTGGGTTACATTGAATTTTGGATAACTTTTCTCCGACAGTTCCTTGAAAAGTTGCCGCAAAGTGTCAGGTCGCGGAGGCCTCATTCTCCCCGCGTGAGCACGGCATGTGCGGTCGTGCTCTACCGGGACGATCTGCGACGCAGCTCCCCGGGAAAGCTTCCGACGCTGTTCCATTATCACGCTAGAAGGGCTCTTGCGGGGATTGTTTCGGATGTCTTTGATCCACTCCGTGCGGGCATGCCGGACCTCAACGCCGTACCCCTCCGAGTCGGGAACGTGGTTGTGTACACCCAAGAGCTCGACAACCTCACCTGTTTCTCTGATTCTTGCGACCACATGACACCCTTCCTTTTCTGTATGATTTGCACACCACTGTTATAATTTTCTTATCGAGGCTTGTGCGTTTGACGTGGAAAAAGAAAGGGGCGTATCCCTGGATGAGGTCCACGCCCGCGCTCTTGACCTTGAAGTGGCCGGCTGGATCGGTCCAAGGGTCGGATCTACCAAAACGAAGTCCTCGAACCTTCACGAATTCTTTCGAAATTTGCATCGTGTTGGATCAGAAGAACTACGGACCGGATATCGCGCAGGGAAACGAAGTGCGGGGATAAGGAAGGAAGGATTTATATCCGTAAAAGGGGTCCGGATTCTCGGGGGGGGGAGACTGGGCCCGTCATTCGGGCCCAGCAGCGTTCTGGGCAGTCTCCCAATCTGGAGCAAAAACTTTCTCAAGTATCTCGCGCCGATCCGCGTTTTCCGATCGTTATGTGGTCCGTATATCAACGCACTCTGGATGGCACCGAGCCTCACGCCAGTCAGCGCTTCTCGTCTCTCGAGCGATCATCGCGGTGACAGCTCGTTGCATCGCCGCCAAATTCGTTCCTTTCATGGTCCGCGTCCGCGTTGTCACCGCCGTCCTGCCCCTGGCCCTGGAATACAGAACATATGGGACAAACATAACGGCGTAATGATTACGCAAGCATAACACCTCAATATTCGGACTCTAGAATGACGAAATCCACGTCTAGGTCTGTCGGCTACAGGCTTAGCAGCGTAGATTCTCATTTACCTCGTCGGTGCCTGCGTAGTCTGTTCCTGGTGTCCCTCCGAGTCCGAGTTCTTCGTCACCCTCAGCAGGCTTTTGATCCCCGTCGGCGGCGTCATTCCCGCTGGCCTGATTTTGATTGCTGCCGTCGGGCTGATCGGCCTCCCACTCGACATTTGACGCATCAACGCCGAATTCGAGAAACGCTTTCACAAAATTCGATCCGTTGTCGGTCACACAAGCCGTAATTTTTGGCGGTGATAGGTCATAGGACGTATGAATCGTGCTGACCATGCTCGCGATTTTGTCGAATGTGTGAGGGCTCGGGAAACGCCGACAGGCAAGTGGAGCCGCTTGGCGTTTGAAGTCGTCGTCCATCCAATGCACCGTCATCCCTAAAAAGCTCCTTTTTCCCGCCGACCAAATGTCAGCTGTAGTGGAGACAAAACTGGCGGCGGATACGTGAGCCTTCGGCTGACTCCGATAGTTTCCATGAGCTACTTCGATACGGCGGCCCAGCGTACGTCGGCTCATCAAGTTCAACATCTTATCTTTGAACCCGAGAACATTCAAGAGATCGGCGAAGGATTCCTGTTCGACGACTGAGAGCGGTATCATCGAGCGCATGATGAACTTGACGAGAGCAGCATCGAACCTTTCCTGAAGCGACGCAGTTGGAGCAAGGCGTAGGCGAGTTTCGGCGACTCTTCGAGGATTCCGGTTGACGAAGGACAGTCTCTGGTCCGCGAGAAATTCTCTGAACGCCGGCAGTGATTGAGGATGATGTTTCCTGACATGCGCGTTGAGATTTGACGTCCGATCGATGGAACATTTGATGCTTTCTCTCGCAGTCCCCGCCGTCGCCGAGCATAGCTTGCAAAGAGCCGAGACTGATCTCGTCCGTCGAATCTCGTCTTCGATGGCAAGAGGATCTGTGCTTGATGCACGGAAATACGGCCTCCGCAGAGCATGACGAACACTCAACTTCAATTGTCGGAGCGGATCGGTCGCGTTTGCTGTCATGATGATATGATGCACTCTCACTCCCACTTGCACTTCTTTGTTCCCGATGTATGATGATCGAGGAACGAGACAATTTCCCACTGAGCATGATTTTATAGAGAACAGCAGCGGCGGTGGCTGCACAGTCATGTCTTAAGTTATATAATTTTTTTTATATTTATTATATAATATATACTAAGTTATATATATTTTTTATATTATATATTATTCATTGAGTTATATATTAATAATAATGAATATAATAATAATAATACCAATAATAAGTTATATATTAAGTTAAAGTTATATAATTAAGATTCTTAACTATAAGAGCTAACTTTCGAGAGAGTCATTCCGGTACAAATGACAAGCAGTCAGCTGACCCGCTTCCGACTTCCAAGCAGTTCCGTCGCCGAAAGCTTCTGTAGTAAGGCCTAAGGCCGACGTTCCTCTCATCCATCACAGAGGTCATGGGTGTGCATATGAAACGAGAAGATCTGCCGTTTTCTGGTTTCATCTGCGCACCCAAGTTTCCTAGCTTCATTCGCGCACCAAAGTTTCCTGGTTTCATCTTTCATCCACGCACCAATTTTCCTAATTTCATCCCTGGTTTCCTAGTTAGTTTCACTTTTCACTTGGCCTGGTGAAGCTTTCGACGAAGAACTGCGAGTCAATCAGCGTGCGGGCCAGCAATGAAACGACACCCGCCGGATACGCTCTATGAGGCAGGCAGAGGGAGAGGGTGATTTGGAACTTCTGAATAAATTCATAAAGATGTAGTGTCGCGACTCGACAACAGAATTTTTTTATCTCCAAGGTTTTTGAGTGCCGGCCGAGTCACAATCAAGGACAGAGAACAGAAGCCAACTAGCATTCTTGAATCCTTTGGCTAGAAGCTGGAAACGTCATTATATGAACGTCTCGGACCGGAACGGAGCGCTAGACTCGCCGTTTGGAAATAGAGCGTCACACCCTCTGACAGCTAGGTATGCTAAATGGCGCAGAGAGGGCAATGAAGCCACGGAAGTCGACAACGACATTTATTTTTCTCCACCGATGTCGCATCCTTGGACCTCCTCGTTATTTTCCACTCGCTGTTATCTGTCTTGATCAATGCGATCGGATCAAAATGTCGATTCCAAGATGGCCGCCGCCCGAAATACAACGAAGTAAAACGTTGAACCCCCGCCTCGCTCTTCAACAGACGATTATCGCAAAACTGACATCACCATCATGATCAGCGGCCTCGGAAATCCTCAACCGTAGTCAGAAAAACTCCATAATCATAGTTTTTCTATCGATCGTATGATTACGAGTATGATTATAGTCATAATCACAAAATCTGTGATTATGACTGTGACTAAGATTATAATCACAGGCGTGACTATGATTTTGCGATTCATGTGATTATGACTACGACTTGAGTCTCAATCACAGTCATGATTATGAATATGCCGATCACTGTTTCTCGGATCGGGTCGAATCGTGAGGGTCGCCAAGGGACAGCCGGTCGAGCGTGGAGTCAAAGGGAAGGCCATCCGACTTTGCTGACGAACGTTCCCAGACACGGAAGTTGTGTGGCGAGTCTTTGTCCGGGAGAGCGAGGGCCGGGGTTCGATGGAGCTGATTCATGAGGAGCTCAAGTCCGTGAGCATGCAGTGGCGAGGGGCGCAGGGCTTGAAAAACTGAGGTTCCAACCGTTGAAATCAGCCCGAGAAGGAGGCTGGCCGAAACCGCGATTTTCATCTTTGCTCCGACGCGCAGCTTCAGGCTCTTCGGGTCGATCTCGGCCACGAGGTGTGTTTCTGCTACCTGCGGGATAGTAGCGGAGCTTGGCTCGACGGGCACGACGAACAACCTCGAATTTGCACGATGCATGGAGGTGGCTTCAGATGGCAAGAGAGAGCAGTGTTCGATGGAAAGATCAGTCATGCTCCAATCGGGAGATAGCGATGGTACGGTGACATACCGGAGAAAAACTGTTCGAAAGCGCATTCAAGTAGCAGCGCTCCCGGTGAACGGGTGAATTTTTCGCGAGTGGATCTTCGATCTAGGTGGAGAATGATGAAAATTATGTAGCTCTTGACCCACTCGGGGATACCCGATGTAGGAAGGAGCGTTATATCCGTGTAACAGTTTTCCAGTCTTCCGTGTCTAGAATGTAGCACGTCCTAGATAGTTTCTCTCTCCTGGCTACGCGGGACTGTCATAGCTTCCTTGTCCGCTGTACTATAAAAGCATACGTCTATGTAATAAAGACACTCTGGCTGGTTACTCAGGCTATCCTGGTTGCCGACTTCGCTTGACGTGTTCTCGACCGAAAGTCCCGTGTATTTATTCAACATCGTGAATCCCTCCACACAGTACGCATCTCACAGCTGAATTTTGACTGAGCATTCGACTAGTGGACCATCAAATTTCCAACAGGGATGATCGGAGTTCGTAGCACAAAAAAATCGCGAAGCCAACTCTTGGAATCAAGTGAATCGGAGCGCGAGCGCTCGCGAATATAACCGGAAGGGGGGCGCGCTCATCGGCCCTGAGGGAGTTTTCGGAGAGCATGGATTTCAAATGGAAACGCGGCGCGAATCCGGCAGAGTGGAGTGGGGCGTACCCCGACCAAATTCCGTCAGATGAAAGTCCTGTGGTTTCTTGCATGTTCAATCATTGCTCAGTTATGGCAACCCCAGAACCCCCAACAGAATCGCCTCCGCGATTGGCGGGAGTGTGGCGAATCGAATTCTAGGTACGACTGCGGTCGATCTCAAGCAGAGATCGGAGCAGTTCCAGAGCGGCGGGCTGGGAAGCCACGCTACCAGTGTATCGATATTCCACAATATATTAGAGCTCAGAGCAGAGAGATAAGGAGAAGATAACAATAAAGAGCGCCAGAGCCGTCTAGCGGAATTCAGGTGAACCAGCCAGTCGTCTGCAAGCATTGCAACTTGCAAGTGCAACGGGATCGTAGCTGCGTGCGCGACCCCCAGAAATCTCATGGAAAACCGGTTCCCTGAACTTCACAAGGGAGGCCGCGGCC